ATCTATCTGAGGGCTGCGGCCAAATGTAATAATACATTTAGGTGACCTCCCTCCAAAAAAATGAAGAAATGACGTCGTACTAAAATATTTAATTTATGTTAAATTTAAGATGCACTAGTCCAGATGTTTCAGTTTATATACATATATCAAGGCTGCACAAACCTTTTCCCCAAATTAAAAATCTATCTGAGGGCTGCAGCCAAATGCATTAATATAATTCATGAAATACAAATAATTTCTAAGTACAGTCCTTTTATTTTAATGATTATGTCCTGCTGGTGTGTGACATGATTTGTTTGTGTCCAAACTAATACGGTATCAGAATTTTATACATTTATACTTCTCATTCAACCACAATTAAATCCACTCATTCTAGTGGGTACAATTTAAATGGATAGTATTTATTTTTTACAATAAGAAGCTGGAATGAAAACGAGCAAAGGAGTAAAGTACAGATAATTGAGTGAAAATGTAAGGAGAAGTCAAAAGCTGAAAATTAATTACTCAAGTAAAGTACAAATACCCAAAAATTCTACTTAAGTACAGTAACAAAGTATTTGTACTTAGTTACTTTACAACTCTGTATCCAAGCAATGGAATAACATCATAAATGTCATTGTTAGTAGGATTTTTGGCTTCTTGTGCTACTTTTAGTTTTTAGCTAATGCTCTCCCATTTTACCTTTAACAGCTTAATTCAACATAATTTTTGTGCTGCAATTTTTAAAAAAAATGCAATTTCTCTAATTTGATTTGTCTTGTTTTATTAAACCTTAATATTGAAAGGGTTTTCAGCCTCTCTGTGTGGCCTTTTTTTAAAGAAACTCAGTGATTGTTTTAGACAAACCAGCAGATTAAAAAGTCTCTTTGATAATTTTTTTTTTCTGCTGTGAGCTGACATCATCTGAATTAAAAGCGTTTCTCTCAACTGTTCGTTGATTACTTTATTCATCTCATGTCTGGGACAAAAAAAATTTAAATATAAAACTGCAACAGAAACTCAATTCTTTCTCAGTTATGTGGGTGCTGAAAGCCAGTTAAAAGATTGATTCATACCTTTTAAAAAGTTTGAGAGAAAATATAGAAGCATCACATAAAAAGTGAAGTTAGCTCTGAAAATATAAACAAACAATGTGACAAAGCGGATATGAACCACACATGTATGATAAGTTGTATG